TAAGAAAATTCACCTTCGCAAATAGAGTGGTAGACGGTTGGAACAAGTTAAGTGAGAAGGTGGTGGAGGCCAAGACCGTCAGTAGTTTCAAAGCGTTATATGACAAAGAGTGCTGGGAAGACGGGACACCACGAGCGTAGCTCTCATCCTGTAACTACACTTAGGTAATTACACTTAGGTAATTACCAAGCCCCGACAGGGGTTTCCAGGGCCCGTAGGGGTAACAACTACAGGAACTCCGGGCAAGGTGTTGCTAACCGGGTAAACACCCAAAATCAACAAGGGGTAGAGTATAACACTGAAAACCCTTGCGACGTGTACAATCACGGGGGCCTAGCAGAGGGCCTCCAAACACTACTAGTGGAAATATAGCCACACCAGGCCGACCCTCACCAGGCTAATGAAAATAAAAACAAAAGAAAAACCCTGCAAAAGTACACAATCTCCAGAGGCAACAGGAACCGGTCGCCGCTTAGGTGGCAGATTGCGCAACCCTTGACGCCCTAACCAGCACAATACCAATCCCTACCCAGAGCCAAACAAGGGCCCCAAGCCCCAGCTGGCCCCAAGGGCGAGGCAAATGCCGAGCAGCAAGAACCTCTACGGGAATGGTTCCCGAACGCCCCAGGGAAGATAACCCTGTAACGCAAGGGCAGTACTCACAGGCCGCTTAGGGAAGTCAGCCACTAAGCACATGCAGCCCCGGCACTGATGAGGTACTCCTGGCCACCGCACAACACGACACACGGCAGTGAACGCCACACAAGGCAAACACTGCCTAGGAAACTGAGGCCAGAGAAGCGTTTATCCCGGTTGACATTAGCTTACGAACTGAAGCTTGGCAGCCGGCGCGGTAGGTCCGGGGCTCCCCCCTCCCCCTTTCGGGGCGGGGAGGGCTGCGCGGACGATCGGCGCGGCAGTAAAGTGTCATGTTTGCTTGTTTCATTGGGATTGTAGGGAGTTTCTACCCCTCTGTTTGGTTTTTGTTTTAGTTTTTACCATGTGGGGTTTATTTTGTCATGCCTACCTTTCTGGGTGCCTAACCCCGGTTACCTTGAGGTTACCTTGAGGTGCTTCCGGGGCTTAGCGTCCCCGCGGCCCGGTCGTCGACCAGGCCTCCTGGTTGCCGGACTGATCAACCAGGCTGTTGGACGCGGCTGCTCGCAGCCTGACGTACGAGTCACAGCCTGGTTGATCAGGTATCCTTTGAAGGCGCTTATTAAGTTATCTTTTAAACACTGCAAGAGGTCGGCCAGTTATGCCCCTTATGTGTAGGAAAGCGTGTTGAAAAGTCTTGGACCTTTGATACTGATAGAGTTCTCTCTCAGAGCATGCTAGTTGCACCTCTGATTTTCAATGGGGCTATTCTGCACATCCTGCCATGCCTTCTGGTCTCATGTAATTACCTAAGTGTAATTACCTAAGTGTAGTTACAGGATAAGAGCTACGCTCGTGGTGTCCCGTCTTCCCAGCACTCTTTGTCATATAACGCTTTGAAACTACTGACGGTCTTGGCCTCCACCACCTTCTCACTTAACTTGTTCCAACCGTCTACCACTCTATTTGCGAAGGTGAATTTTCTTATATTTCTTCGGCATCTGTGTTTAGCTAGTTTAAATCTATGACCTCTTGTTCTTGAAGTTCCAGGTCTCAGGAAGTCTTCCCTGTCGATTTTGTCAATTCCTGTTACTATTTTGTATGTAGTGATCATATCACCTCTTTTTCTTCTGTCTTCTAGTTTTGGCATATTTAATGCTTCTAACCTCTCCTCGTAGCTCTTGCCCTTCAGTTCTGGGAGCCACTTAGTAGCATGTCTTTGCACCTTTTCCAGTTTGTTGATGTGCTTCTTAAGATATGGGCACCACACAACAGCTGCATATTCTAGCTTTGGCCTAACAAAAGTCATGAACAATTTCTTTAGTATATCGCCATCCATGTATTTAAATGCAATTCTGAAGTTAGAAAGCATAGCATAGGCTCCTTGCACAATATTCTTTATGTGGTCCTCAGGTGATAGTTTTCTATCTAGAACCACTCCTAGATCTCTTTCTTTATCAGAATTCTTTAAAGATTTCTCACATAATATATAGGTTGTGTGGGGTCTATGTTCTCCTATTCCACATTCCATAACATGACATTTATTAACATTAAATTCCATTTGCCAAGTGGTGCTCCATATACTTATTTTGTCCAGGTCTTTTTGAAGGGCATGACAGTCATCTAAATTTCTTATCCTTCCTATTATCTTAGCATCATCAGCAAACATGTTCATATAATTCTGTATACCAACTGGTAGATCATTTATGTACACAATAAACATCACTGGTGCAAGAACTGAACCCTGTGGTACTCCACTTGTGACATTTCTCCATTCTGATACATTGCCTCTGATTACTGCCCTCATTTTTCTATCAGTCAGAAAATTTTTCATCCATGATAGAAGCTTACCTGTCACCCCTCCAATATTTTCCAGTTTCCAGAACAACCTCTTATGTGGAACTCTGTCGAAAGCCTTTTTTAGGTCCAGATAGATGCAGTCAACCCAACCATCTCTTTCCTGTAATATCTCTGTGGCTCGATCATAGAAACTGAGTAAATTCGATACACAGGATCTTCCAGATCGAAAACCATACTGTCTGTCTGATATTATATCATTTCTCTCTAGGTGTTCTACCCATTTAGTTTTGATTAGTTTTTCCAATACTTTCACTATTACACTTGTTAATGATACAGGTCTATAATTGAGGGGGTCTTCCCTGCTGCCACTTTTGTAGATTGGAACTATGTTAGCCTGTTTCCACCCGTCTGCTACGATTCCTGTACACAGGGATGCCTGAAAGATCAGGTGAAGTGGAATGCTGAGCTCAGATGCACATTCTCTCAGAACCCATGGTGAAACGCCATCTGGGCCAGCTGCTTTGTTCTTACCGAGCTCCTTGAGCATTTTTTCCACTTCGTCTCTAGACACCTCTATGTGTTCTATGTTGTTCTCTGGAATTCTTATTGTATCTGGTTCCCTAAAGATTTCATTTTGTACAAACACACTTTGGAACTTTTCGTTTAGTGTTTCACACATTTCCTTTTCATCTTCCGTGAATCTATTTCCCATTTTCAACCTCTGAATATTATCCTTTACCTGCAATTTGTTGTTTATGAATTTATAGAATAGACCTGGTTCTGTTTTACATTTGTCCGCAATCCCTTTTTCAAAATTTCTTTCTGCCTCTCTCCTCACTGCCGTGTAGTTGTTTCTCGCATCTTTGTATCGCTGGTATGTTTGGGGGTTCGGCCTCTTCCTGTATTGATTCCATTTTTGTGTCTTTCGGTCTCTAGCCCTCTCGCAATTTCTATTGAACCAATCCTGTTTCCTAGTTCTGCATCTCTGTTTTGGTATAAATTTTGTTGTGCCTTTATCATATATTTCACAAAACTTGCCATACATCTCATTCACTTCCTTGCCTAGCATCAAGTCTGTCCAATTATACTCACTAAAAAAATTTCTAAGGTCACCATAATGTCCTCTCCTGAAGTCTGGTTTTTCAACTGCTTCAACCTCCTTATTTTCTTCCAGCTTATAACGCATTGCATACTTTATTCCCAAAAAGACATGGTCACTTTTACCCAAGGGAGGAAGGTACTGAATGTCAAATATCTCTTCCTCCTTCCTGGTAAATATCAAATCTAGCATGGAGGGAACGTCCCCTTCCCTCATCCTCGTAGCTTGTTTAACATGTTGATACAAGAATGTTTCCAGGATGAGGTCTACAAATTTACAGGTCCAAAAATCTTCTGTTTTAGCTTCATATGCTTCCCAGTCTATGGATTTCAAGTTGAAGTCACCGACTATCAACAGTCGTGATCTATCGTTATCCGCTCTCGCTATAATCTCTCTCATTATTGTTATAAGACCTTCACGTTTACTATCTAGCTCCTCCTTTGACCATGTGCTGCTTGGCGATGTTATTTCTGTGTGCAGTTGGCACACAGAAATGTGTTTCTGCGGTTGATGGCAGATAAGGAAAACCCCAGCTACAAGGGGGTTTTCCAGGGCCATTGCTCCCTGAAACCTCTCTGAAGGGGCCAGGTTCTGGTGCTGGTCCCTGGTAGGTCTGAACTCCTTAGCTAATGTCCCGGTCTAATATAACGTACATTAGCCCGATAAGCTCCAGGGAGCCGTAGGGACTCCCCACAGAAAGTGGTGATATGATCACTACTTACAAAATAGTGACAGGAATTGACAAAATTGATAGGGAAGATTTTCTGAGACCTGGAACTTCAAGAACAAGAGGCCATAGATTTAAACTAACTAAACAAAGATGCCGAAGAAATGTAAGAAAATTCACTTTCGCAAGCAGAGTGGTAGATGGTTGGAACAAGTTAAGTGAGAAGGTGGTGGAGGCCAAAACCATCAGTAGTTTCAAAGCGTTGTATGGCAAAGAGTGCTGGGAAGACGGGACACCACGAGCGTAGCTCTCATTCTGTTATCTTGAGATTCTTGAGGTTATCTTGAGATGATTTCGGGTCTTGGTGTCCCCGCGGCCCGGTCCTCGACCAGGCCTCCACCCCCAGGAAGCAGCCCGTGATAGCTGACTTAACTCCCAGGTACCTATTTACTGCTAGGTAACAGGGGCATCAGGGTGAAAGAAACATTTTGCCCATTTCTCCGCCTCCACCGGGAATTGAACCCGGAACCTCAGGACTACGAATCCGAAGCACTGTCCACCAAGCTGTCAGGCGCCTGTAACTACACTTAGGTAATTACTCTTAGGTAATTACCTGATTGGTTTAGGATTTATTCTTGATAGAAAGATATCCAGTTACTGTATATATATTCTTCTCCGAGAATATGGTCTATCATGATGTTATACGATTATTCACACATTCAGTATTGTACAGTACATATAATATTTAATATGATTTTGGTGTTAATTTGTGTTAGTTCATAAATTGCTCTCAAGCGTTAAAGCTGATTAAAGTCAAAGTAATTGGTGCCTTTTCAGGTTGGCTGAAGTCTCTTATTCCTAAATCGGCTTTGTCGGTGGAGGAGGAAGCGTGGAATGCCTACCCTTATACCAAGACCCGCTTCACTTGCCCCTTTGTAGAGAAGTTCAGTATTGAGGTGGAAACATTCTACTATGATGATGCTGGAAATCAAGAAAATGTCTTCAATCTTTCAAAATCAGAAATAAAGCAAAGAGAAATAGGTAAGTCTCCACATTTTGTATATACTGCACGTCATCAAAATAACCAAGATTTATTTTGCAATTTTTGTTTTAAATCTTTTCTGAAATATGTTAGAAAATTTTGATGAATGTTAAAGTTATAATTTTTCCAGATGTGATTGATGTGGTAAAGGACCAGTTATATGGGGCAGATTATGTTGAAGAAGAAGATCCTCGAAAATATAAGTCAGAGAAAACTGGAAGAGGCCCATTGGGGGATAACTGGATTACAGAGTACTGGGAAACATGCAAGGTTAGGCCACTGTTTCTTTATTTTTGATAAGATTTCTTTATTTGGGAATCCTTATTTTTGGAGGACTCGATAAAAGCTGCATTGTTATTAAACCTAAAAACTATCCACCAAATTGTATTTTGTTTACTTCTGTGGGGAGCCCCTATGGCTCCCTGGAGCTTATCGGGCTTATGTATGTTATGTTAGACCAGGACATCAGCTATGGAGTTCAGACCTACCAGGGACTAGCGCCAGAACTTGGCCCCTTCAGAGAAGTTTCAGGGAGCAATGGCCCTGGAAAACCTCCTTGTGGTTTGGGGTTTTCCTTATCTGCCATCGACCGGGGTTAGGCACCCAGAATGGCAGGCATAACAAAACAAACCCCACATGGTAAGAAACTAAAACCAAAAAACGAACAGAGGTAGAAACTCCCTACAATCCCAAGGAAGGAAACGAGCAATTATCACATTTTACTGCCGTGCATCTCATCCGCGCAGCCCTCCCCTTCCCCTCTCTGGGAGGGGGGCCCCGGACCTCACCGCGCTGGCTGCCTTCAATTCGTAAGCTAGTGTCAACCGAGACAGACGCTTCTCTAGCCTCAAATTCCTGGGCGGTGTTTGCCTTGTGTGGCGTTCTCTGCTGTCTTTGCTTGGTGTGTGGTGGCCAGGAGTACCTCATCAGTGCCGAGGCTGCATGCGCTTAGGAGCTTCCTTCCCTAAGCGCCCTGTGTGTACAGTACTGCCCCTGCGTATCAAGGTTATCTTCCCTGGGACGTTCGGGAACCGCTCCTGTAGGGGTTCTTGCTGCTCGGCATTTGCCTTGCCCTTGGGGCCAGCTGGGGCTTGGGACCCTTGTTTGGCCTTGGGTAGGGAGTGGTGTTGTGCTGTTAGGGCGTCAAGGTGTTGCGCTGCCTGCCACCTAAGCGGCAACCGGTTCCTGTTGCCTGTGGGGACGGTGTACTTTTGTGGGGTTTTTCTTTTGTTTTGTTTTTGTTAGTCTGGTTGGGGGTTCTGCCTAGTGGGACTATAGTTTCCCAGATACTGTTTTGGTGGCCCTCTACTAGGTCCCCGTGCTTGTACACGTCCCAGGGGTTTTCAGTGTCATCATCTACTCCGTGTTAGTTTGGGCTTTTTAACACTTTAGTGCGCGCGGCACGAGCTGGAAAAAAAAGCGGGTTGTGCGCGCGCCGTTCTGGGCGCTCAAGCGTAAACACAAAAATGTTTATAATCTTTTCACACTCCTAACGTCAATTCTCGAGCAACGTTTTTCATTTTGGTATCAATGCGTTGGCAATAAAATTCTCTACAAGATCATATGCATAAAATGTCACCCAAGCATTTGGTATCCCACCACGAAGTAAATAAACACGAAGATGACTCGCCGTGACACCCAAACAGGAAGTAAATGTTCATACTCTTTCGTTTGTTGCCAGCCTCACAGTCATCCTACAGTGCTTATTTTGATATCACTGAACTCGCAATAAAATTCCCCACCCAAACATATGCCTATCAATGTCTAATTATGTTCTGCACGAGTGTGGGAACTGGGCGAAGCGTTAGCCGTGATTTCAGCAGCGACGACACTGTTGTGATGCCGCGCTTTGAAAGTTTTACTTATTTCACTGTCATGACATTATTTCTCGAGCTACGTATTTCATTTTTATAGCAATGTGTTCGCAATAGAAAGTTCTATAAGAACGTGGGTAGAATTGGCCAACAGAGCGTCAAATAAATTTACGGCGAATAAAATCTTACGCAAATCTTACGCGTGTTTTTACCCATGAGCGTAAAAAGTTTTTACTTTGCTCATGTTTTATCAAGTTTATACTTGATTCACTCCGTTTTTTTTTGTTTGTATAGTGTTTGGAATAAAATTCTCTACACAGACATATGCATATAAATGTAGAATCATGATCGCGGCCAACACAAGAGTGTGTGGAGTGCGCGATTACCATCGTTGTGACTCCAATTCAATAGTCTCTCCTCTAAGTTACAATACATTGCCGTTTTCTCAAATAGGCACAGTGCCTATTAGAGAAAACAAAAATTTAATGGCAAACATATTCATACAAACCCCAAGTCGATCAAGTAGTAAATACCCAATATCAAGTAGTAATACCCACTGTCCGTAAATTTTCATCGTGATCCGACAAGCGGTTAGGGAAACCGCCCGTAAGTCCAAGTCGAAAATCCAGGAAAGTGTTAACTGCTTAACAACCCCTTGCCCTGGTTTCCTGTAGTTGTTACCCTACGGGCCCTGGAAACCCCTGGCGGGGCTCGGTGGACCCATGGATGCATCTCCCAAGTTCCAGCCTGCCTTGTATAGGTTTGAAGGTTGCTGTGTACCCTTGTCTCAGGGTGACAGTCACCTGTTTTGCCTCCGTCATGCAGCCTGTTGGGTCAACGATACCTTTGACCCGGGTCTTGTGAGTCGTGTTCTCTGCTTGTGCTCCAGTTACATTCTGATGATGATGCTGTTAGGGTACAGACAGCATCCGCATTGCATGTTAGGTTTAGGTTACTGCAATGCGCCAGGTTGGTTTCCCACCCGGATGATCCGAGGCTACCCCGTTTTGGTTTTCGGGACCTGGATCTGGGGGGCGTTAGTCGCTTCGAATTTTTGACTCCTTCCGCGCTCTCTGGTCCTTCCCCTGTGGTTCTCCCTGCACCTCTTCCCCCCATGTCCGGCTCCCAAATGTTGAAGGATTTTGGATTCGGCACAGGGTTTAGTTGGTAATGAAACTTGGGCGACTTCGGGGGCTGCCCCATTCGGGCCGGAGACGGAGGCATTTGAGTCAGTTCCTCCTTCCGAGGCTTCTGGGTCCCACCAGCAGGCCTCCTTTTTGTCTGCCTTTTCCCTGGACTCTGTTTTTTCTTCAGGGGTAGAGGGTTTGGAGGACAGCTCTGCCCCAGGTCCCGAAGTGGAGGATCTTGAGGCTGGGGAGGAGTCGACCTGGGGGCCTTGGGCACCCTTTGACCCCACGTGGGTGCATTTGCCTTCCTCATGGGGCTTATTGTTGCAGGGGGAGGGTTTTCTTACCCCCTTTCCCTGTATGAGTATGATTTGGGTTTGGCTCCTCCCCAGGTTCGGTTCCGGGCTCCTTTGGGTACCTCTTCTACATCTTTAAAGAGGTTTTCTACTTCCCGTATCTCCGCAAAGGAGGCTCGGGAGGCTCTTGCTGCATACCTCCTGCGAGACACGGTTTATGCCTCTATGATGGATCCATCCTCTTTTGAGTTCGGTTCTTCTTCCCGCTTTTGGGTACTTTTGGAGTTTCCGGAGTTTTCCTGGCTGGCAGACTGCCCATTCTTTTCGTTGGGGGCATGGCATGGGTTCTGTCGGACCCGCACGCTTGATTGGCGTGAAACTTCTACAGTTCTGCAGGTTTATCTGGGGGCGAGTTTGAGCACCTTAATGCATGCTTGTTCACCCCTGTGCTTTCTCGGGATGTTGGCCTTTTCCAGCTTCACATGCAAGTTCCTCTTGTTTCAGCATCATTGGTTGCGGAGGATTTGCGCGCCTGTGGGCATTTGGCTTCGGTCTTACGTTTCTTTTCCATTCTTGAGCGGTCTTCTGCCTGGCTTGAGGAGGATGTGGAGGCATTGAGTGACGCGCCTTCGTCTGGAGCGCTGACTTCAGCAGCTAGGGCGTCGGCTGCACTGTTGAAGCTTCTTGCGCCCATCCTGAAGGAGGCAGTGTCTGTTTTTTGCTTCATGCCTCGTGTGCCGTCAGGCTGTGCTCGCCCTCTCCTTGGAATTTGCTTGGGCCCTGGCTTTTAGGTTTTCATCTCCATTTTGTCCGTTGCTGTTTGCAGAGGCTGCAGTCTCGCAGTTTCTGCAAGCGGCTTCGTCTAGTTGTCGTCCTATGTCGGTCTTGTTGATACTTTGGTGCGGCCGTTCTCGGCCATCTTGGAGGGGTCGTACCAGGGTTCAGGGTTCCGCTGGTTGAGGTGGGCCATTGGTGCCAGTTTGTAAGCCATCGTTGCCTTCAGTGTCTGTGTTGTCTGGTCGGCACGGTGATCGCCTTGTTCGACGTTCGGTTTCTCGTATGGGGCGTCGGTCCTTTCACGGTTCGCCCCGTTGACGGGGCGATAGGGGGGAGGCTCACTCTGTTTGCCCATGCTTGGTCCCATGATTTGTGGGCCTTTTTGGTCATGTCATCTGGCCTGTGGTGCAGTTGGGTAGCTCCTCCTCCTTCCAGGAGTTTGGGGCAGGCTGCTTCTCCTGCGCTTCGTGAAGTCGTCGTGGAGTAATTACCTAAATGTAGTTACAGGATGAGAGCTACGCTCGTGGTGTCCCGTCTTCCCAGCACTCTTTGTCATATAACGCTTTGAAACTACTGACGGTCTTGGCCTCCACCACCTTCTCCCCTAACTTGTTCCAACCGTCTACCACTCTGTTTCCGAAAGTGAATTTTCTTATATTTCTTCGGCATCTGTGTTTAGCTAGTTTATATTTATGACCTCTTGTTCTTGAAGTTCCAGGTCTCAGGAAGTCTTCCCTGTCGATTTTATCAATTCCTGTTACTATTTTGTATGTAGTGATCATATCACCTCTTTTTCTTCTGTCTTCTAGTTTTGGCATATTTAATGCCTCTAACCTCTCCTCATAGCTCTTGCCCTTCAGTTCTGGGAGCCACTTAGTAGCATGTCTTTGCACCTTTTCCAGTTTGTTGATGTGCTTCTTAAGATATGAGCACCACACAACAACTGCATATTCTAGCTTTGGCCTAACAAAAGTCGTGAACAATTTCTTTAGTATATCGCCATCCATGTATTTAAAAGCAATTCTGAAGTTAGAAAGCGTGGCATAGGCTCCTCGCACAATATTCTTTATGTGGTCCTCAGGTGATAGTTTTCTATCTAGAACCACCCCTAGATCTCTTTCTTTATCAGAATTCTTTAAAGATTTCTCACATAATATATAGTTTGTGTGGGGTCTATGTTCTCCTATTCCACATTCCATAACATGGCATTTATTAACATTAAATTCCATTTGCCAAGTGGCGCTCCATGTACTTATTTTGTCCAGGTCTTCTTGAAGGGCATGACAATCATCTAAGTTTCTTATCCTTCCTATTATCTTAGCATCATCAGCAAACATGTTCATATAATTCTGTATACCAACTGGTAGATCATTTATGTAGACAATAAACATCACTGGTGCAAGAACTGAACCCTGTGGTACTCCACTTGTGACATTTCTCCAGTCAGATACATTGCCTCTGATCACAGCCCTCATTTTTTTATCAGTCAGGAAGTGGGTGCGCTTGGGTGTGGTCGAAACGACCCCGTCTCTCAGGTCGGTTTCCCACCTGTTTTCAGTGCTGAAATGGGACTGTGCAGATATGAGGTTCATTCTGGACTTGTCCCGTCTGAACCCCTGGATTCCTTGCCTCTATTCGGATGACTACTCTGTCATAGGTCCAGCTTCTATTGGAGCCGGGTGCCTGGATGGTGTCCCTGGACCTCAAGTTCGCTTATTGGCACATTCCTATTCATCTGGGGTTCAGGGACTGGTTAGGTTTCATGGTGGGGCGTCAGGCTTACCGCTTTCATTGCCTCCCTTTTGGCTTGAATCTGGGACATTGCATTTTCACGCGTCTTACCCGGGTTGTGGTGACTCGTCTGCATCTGCTAGGGATTCAGGTTTTGGCCTACCTCGACGACTGGCTGGTGTGGGCTCCCAGTCGGTCCACTTGTCTGCTCGCCAGGAGTGCGGTTCTTTCCAGATCGCCGAGTTTGGTTTCCTGGTGATCTGCAGGCCATTCCATCTGTTTCCATCCCGGGTTCGGACCTGGCTGGGCCTTGTTTAGGGCTTTTGGGCCGCTCCTTGTCTTTCCCTCCAGAAGTTTTGCTGCGGCTGTGGTCCCGTCTATGGCTGTTCATGAGGGGGTCCCTGGTTTGCTCAGCGGTTGCTCGAGCAGTTGTGCGGGAGTCTGAACTGCGACGTGCTGGTCTACTCGCGGGGTCGGGTTTGGCTTCGGCGTCTATTTGGTTCCTTCGGAGACGCCCCTTCCGTCTCTCTTGCAATCATTGGGTTCGTTCCTCCGGGAATCTTGTGTTGGTGCTGCATCACCAGCTTCCTCTTTGGGGTTTTCGGGGTTCCGTGCTTTAACACCTCCCCGAGCCTTCGCTCGATGTGTTCACGGACGGGTCATCTCTCAGCTGGGGCTTTGTGACCAGTGCTCACCAGGTTGGCCGGGAATGTTGGGGTCTGTCCATCCGTCGGGCTCACAGCACGATTCGGGAGTTCGTGGCTGTCTGGTTTGCGCTTCGGAGGGTTTGGGTCACTCGGTGCTCTACCATTCAGCTCCATTTGGACTGCTCTCTGGCGGTTCTTTGCCAGAACTACAGGGTTTCTCTTAGGTGTTTGACCTTTAGGGTTGGTTCCTTAGAGTGGCTCGTTTACTGGATTCTCGGGGTTTGGCTAACTGTGAGGTTCATGTCTGGGGTGTGTCCTGTGTCCTGGCGGACAGCCGTCTCGGTTCATTTCTCTATTCGTGGATTGGCCAGTCGTCGCCGACTCGTTTCGTTGGCTCTGCTGGATGCATGGATTCATGGCCATGGACGTCTTCGAGTCGGAGTGGTCTAGGCGTCGCCCATTCTATGTGGTGCCCTTACCCGCCTGCGAGGCGTTCATGGTGGATGCCTCTCGGCAGAACTGGTTGAGGTGGGGGGTCCCTGTTCCTCTTCTCCCGCTCCAGCTGTTGCTTCGGTTTCTGGCTCGGTTGGAGCTCATTCCCACGAGAATAGTCCTTATGGTCCCTTGGTGTCCGGCCCAGATTTATTTTCAGACGCTGCTTGATAGGTTTCCGAACCCGGGGCGTTATACCTGCAGCTCCGCCTCTTTCGGCGGGTTGGATCAGTCCTGTACGTGACTGGTTCGGTCTTCTCCTCGGCTCTTCGCATCTGGTATTTTGACGCGGGTATCACCATCTCTGTGGTGATCAGGTAGCTTTGTTGATGGTGTCCCACCTGAGAGCTTCGTCTAGGTGACAATATGATGTTCCTGGTGTTTCTATGCACTTTTTCTTGTTCTTCGTAGGTTGTCTTCTCTTTCGTATCGGGTTGTCTTGTCCTTACTTGGGTTTTCTGGACTACGGTTATGTAATGTTTCTTACTGTTGCTTCGTACTGTTGGACGTCACATCTGCCCCATTTCGTACGCTTTCTCGTGTTTTGTTTCACCTCCGGCTTGCTCATGCTTCGCCTGAGCCGTCCTGGTCCTTGATCAGGGTGCCGCCTTATCTTCTCCTCAGTTTGTGGTAGCCCCTTCCGTTCAGGTTTTCTGCTCTTTGGTACTGGTGGTAGGTTTGTACGTTTGCAGCCTTTCTCTGTCCTGGCGATGGTCGAGACGGCTGCTTTCCGGAGGGGTTCTTGGGTTATTGATGCTTGATTGGTTTGGCCGGGGGTGCGTCCTGTATTGTCCGGTTGTGCTTTTTTGCCTTTACCTGTGTACCGTGTCTGGGGATGAGCTTTGGGTTGATCCGGTTCCCCCTTGTTCCCTGTTTCAAGGCTCAGGTCTCCCAGGTCATCCGCAGAGTTTTAAGTCTTCCAGCCTGCGGTCTGTCCTTGCGCCCGTGCTGTTCGGATGTTTGCAGCTTTTGCTGCTGTGTTGGTGACGTCTAGGGTTCATTTCGGGCACAGCGATTTGAGGGTCGCACAGGTTCTTGGCCGCCCATTCTTCATGCGTGTCTGCTCCTGTGCGTTATTGTTGCCTTGGGTCACAGGTTGCAGCCTGTTTTCTCGGCTTTGCATTGCGGAGTTTGTGGCGGCCGCCTCCAGGGTTAGCCCTTTCTTTTCCTTCTCTTTGGGTATTAAGCTCCAGGGAGCCGTAGGCACTCCCCACAGAAAACCAGTGTTGAATGTAATGGAACGCCATTTTCTGGGTGAGCCCTGGAGGCTCCCTGGCAACCCTCCCTCCCACTGGTGGGCGGTTTTTTCACATTGGTTGAAGCTTAGCTTCCGAACTGATGCTAGGCAGCCGGTGCGGTAGGTCCGGGGCTCCCCCCTCCCCCTCTCGGGGCGGGGAGGGCTGCGTGGACGATCGGCGCGGCAGTAAAGTGTGATGTTTGCTTGTTTGCTTGTTTCCTTGGGATTGTAGGGAGTTTCTACCTCTCTGTTCGGTTTTTTGTTTTAGTTTTTTACCATGTGGGGTTTGTTTTGTTATGCCTACCTTTCTGGGTGCCTAACCTCGGTCGATGGCAGATAAGGAAAACCCCAACCACAAGGGGGTTTTCCAGGGCCATTGCTCCCTGAAACCTCTCTGAAGGGGCCAGGTTCTGGCGCTGGTCCCTGGTAGGTCTGAACTCCTTAGCTAATGTCCCGGTCTAATATAACATACATTAGCTCGATAAGCTCCAGGGAGCCTCGGAGGCGTTTTACAGGAAAGAGAAAATGGTGTTTCATTACATTCAACGCTGGTTTTTTATAGTCAAGGTGTCTTACCATATATGTTTCTTTAGGGACTAATGTATGAGGGTCATGTCTCCCGGTCTTGTGTTTAGCGGCAGTGGTCATTGTTTTTTTTGTTTTGTTTATTATGGGCACCGGTTTTGTGCCTAGTGACCTTGCCTGGTATGCTCGTCCGGCTCCCAAGCCTCTGGTCCTTAGTATCCTTTCCGTATTATGGCCATTTTGCCCGTGAGGTTCTTTTACCTGGAAGAACAAAAGTTAAAGAAAGAGGGACAACTAATGACCCTTTTCAATCATATGGTGTGTCATTTTCTGCTGGCAAATGTGGTTGGTAGGGCTTCCCCAGGTTTGTTCCTGGGTCATCTAGGGTTACTCGGTTTCGACTTTTCGGAGGTAATCTTCCTCTCGGTTTCCCCTTTGGGGGTTTGAGAGGCTCTTGGCATGTACCTCCTGCAAGACCTGGTTTATGCCTGTGTGTGGGATCAGGTTTCTGTTTGAGTTCTGTTCCTCTTACACTGATAGGATGTGTTGCGAGGTTCCGGTGTCTTTCTGGCTGACATCCTACCTCGATGAGTGATTGGTGTGGGCACCCGTCTGGTGTGCTAGTCTGCTTTCCTCGGTTCTGGTTTTTTCCCAGCTTGCTGGGTTCGGGTTGTGGTAACTTGGTGGAAGTTCCAGTTGGCTTTGTCTCAGGTTTGGCCTTGGCTGTACCTTGTGTGAGATTCTCGGGTGGCATCATCTCTCTACCTCCTGCGGCATTGCTCCAGTTGCTGTCCCGCCTTCAGCTGATTTTGAGGGGGACCCGGATCACTCGGGGTTTCTTGAGCAGTTGTGCAGAAGCCAGAACTTCGCTGTGCTGGTTTCCCTGCAAGGTGGCGTTTTGGTTCTGGAGGCTGTTCTGGTATCTAATGGGCAGCCTCTTTCACCTCTTTCATGACTACTGGATTCGTTTCCTAGGGTCCTTACATTGGTTGTTGCATCTACGGCTTCCTCTTTGAGTTTTCCGGGTTTGTTGCTATTTCGTCTTCCCCTTCCATTGCTCGCTGTGCTCACGGACGCCTTGTCTCTCGACTGGAGGTTTATGACCAGCATTCCCCAGGCCATCCAGAGATGTTGGGCGCCTTCATTCCTCTGGGGCCTCTACCCCAGAGAAATGAAGGGGCAGAGGGCCGCAGAAGGGTCAGAGGACTTCATTCGGACTGCAGGGGCCTCTGAGGTCCGTGACACTTTGAGGCTGGTCTTTTCTGCCAAAAAAGGGTATTTTCTTTAAACGTAATGCTTTGTTTTTACTTATTTTTTAGGGCCAGCCTACTCCGCTATCCACGGGAGAAGCCATCATGTGTGCCTACAAGTTGTGCAAGGTGGAATTTCGCTACTGGGGCATGCAGACTAAAATAGAAAAATTTATTCATGATATTGGTAAGTTTTCATCAGCCCTTTGTTGTTGTCAGTAAGGTAAAGCTAGCATCCTTTTGTTTATTATCAACTTAAATATTCATGAGAAAGTCAATTGGAGCATTGAGATGACTCGAACCAGCAACTGTAGCACTCCTAGCTGTGCAACTTACCCCTGTACCACGACATGCTATAAGTTATATGGCTTCAATAAAGGCTTTCAGACATCTTGTAAATTCAGTGGATTCCTAGGTTGTATAATATATACCTTGATATGGTACAGGGGTAAAGTGCACAGCTGGGAGTGCCCCAATTACTAGTTTGAGTCACTCCATTGCTCCAAATTGACTTTCTCATTGATATCACATTAGTGATATCTTCCATGATGCTATCTTCTGTTAGTGATGTCTTCACTATCTTCCATTAGTGATATATATCATCCGTTAGTGATATTTTCCGTGATATCAATTTCTCCAATTGATATCACGTCAGTGTGATCTGATGCTGGAGTGTATTGTTGATGACCTACACTAGAGTGCATGGGAGTTATATGTAAACCTTGAACTGACTTCAGAAGAAGCCTCCAGACTTTGTGTGGATTCAGTGGAATCTTGGGTTCAAAAATGTATACCTTGTCATGTTACAGGGGTAACATGACAAGGTATATAACAGCATTTTTCTTGTTAGGGTGATGTCATGGGCTTGTCTCATGTGATTTCTAGGGGCACCGGATTGAAGATGACAGGTCAAACGCCTCGTCAGCTTTGTCGATGTCATACCTATGTACTTAGATTGAAGGTTACATCCTTTGTGGGGGCAGGTGTACATGTACACAACACTTGACTGCTGTAAAGGGTTCTCCGTCGGCTTCGGGCTGTTTTTGATAAGGAGATCGGTAGTCTTCTTTGTTTTATAGAATATGATCAGGTTAGGTTAGGGGTAATGCTTTTTACTCCTTTATGGATTATTTATTTACAGAGTAAAAAAGACTCCAAGTAAAGACTCCTGTGTACAGGAGTTGTAGTAGACGTGTGGAAAAAGGCTAACATAGTTCCAATCTACAAAAGTGGCAGCAGGGAAGACCCCCTCAATTATAGACCTGCATCATTGACAAGTGTAATAGTGAAAGTATTGAAAAAAATAATAAAAAGTAAATGGGTAGAACACCTGGAGAGAAATGATATAATATCAGACAGACAGTATGGTTTTCGATCTGGATGATCCTGTGTATCGAATTTACTCAGTTTCTATGATCGAGCCACAGAGATTTTACAGGAAAGAGATGGTTGGGTTGACTGCATCTATCTGGATCTAAAAAAAGGCTTTCGACAGAGCTCCACACAAGAGGTTGTTTTGTAAACTGAAAAATATTGGAGGAGTGACAGGTAAGCTTCTAACATGGATGAAAAAATTTCTGACTGATAGAAAAATGAGGGCAGTGAGGGCAGTAATCAGAGGCAATGTATCGGACTGGAGAAATGTCACAAGTGGAGTACCACAGGGTTCAGTTCTTGCACCGGTGATGTTCATTGTCTACATAAATGATCTACCAGTTGGTATACAGAATTATATGAACATGTTTGCTGATGGTGCTAAGATAATAGGAAGGATAAGAAACTTAGATGATTGTCATGCCCTTCAAGAAGACCTGGACAAAATAAGTATATGGAGCACCACTTGGCAAATGGAATTTAATGTGAATAAATGCCATGTTATGGAATGTGGATAGGGGAACATAGACCCCACACAACCTATAAATTATGTGAGAAATCTTTAAAGAATTCTGATAAAGACAGAGATCTAGGAGTGGTTCTAGATAGAAAACTATCACCTGAGGACCACATAAAGAAAGTTGTGCGAGGAGCCTATGCGATGCTTTCTAACTTCAGAATTGCTTTTAAATACATGGATGGCGAAATACTAAAGAAATTGTTCACGACTTTTGTTAGGCCAAAGCTCGAATATGCAGCTGTTGTGTGGTGCCCATATCTTAACACTTTTGCTCGGTAACGACGCAGCATTGCACCGTTTATTTATTAGACGCATTTCCGGTAACCACGCAGCAATGTGTCGGCGGCAAGTTGGCAGCAGCTTTGGGAGGGGCACACCGCGGTTTTGGATATTATATGCATATATAGTGGTACCTCGGAATACGAGTGTTCCTGTATATGAGGTTTTCAGAATACGAGCAGGATTTCCTCGGAAAATTTGCCTCGGAAGGTGAGGGTTACCTCGGACAGCGAGTGCGTTGATTCGCGTACAGGCCGACCTAGCGCATGGTGGCACGGCGATCGTCGCCCCTCATTCCTCAGTTTACCAGTGCCTCGTGCCCTGTGACTATCCCGCATCAATTCTTCATCAGGAATTTCAGTGTTTTGTTGGATTTTTGGTCATTTGACCATAAAAGTTATTATATATCTCACCATGGGTCCCAAGAAAGCTAGTGGTAAGGATCAAGGCATGAAAGCACATGTGAGGATCACAATAGAAGAAAAACAAGAGATCATTCAGAAGCATGAAAATGGTACACGTGTTGTTGAACTTTGTTGGCAGTACAAAGCCACGTCAACGATATGCACTATACTTAGCAAGAAAAAGGACATTATGAGTGCTAAAGTGGCAAAAGGCGTAAGAACAATCACGAAACAAAGACCACAAATACTTGAAGAAGTGTTAAAGTTATTAATTTGGATACACAACAAGGAGATAGCGGGTGAAAGTGTTTCGGAGGCCATCATTTGTGAGAAAGCAAGGGTATTGCACGAAGACCTTGTAAAGAAAACCTCTGGGATGAGTGCAGATACGATAGACTTAAAGGCAAGCAGGGGATGGTGTGAAAAATTTAGAAAAAGAAGTGGTATCCATAGTGTTGCGAGGCATGGGGAGGCTGTCAGCTCAGACATACCAGTGGCTGAACGATTTATTGGAGAATTTAAAGAGTTTGCAGAGGCTGAGGGATACCTACTGCAACAAGTTTTTAATTGTGATGAAACAGGACTTTTCCTGAAAAGATTGCCTAAGAGGACATACATTACCAAGGAGGAAAATCATTGCCCGGACACAAGCCTATGAAATTTAGGTTTATGCTTGTGCTGTGTTCAAATGCGAGTGGCGATTTGAAAATTAAACCCTTGCTAGTGTATCATTCTGAAAATCCAAGGCTTTTCAAACAGTATAAAGTGCAGAAACACCAAATGTGTGTGTTGTGGAAAGCTAATAAAAGGGCATGGGTGACTAGGATTTTTTTTTTTGGAGTGGGTGAATGAAGTGGTGTCCCCTGCCATAAAAAAATATCTACAGGAGAAACATTTGCCACTCAAGGCCCTGCTTCTCCTCGACAATGCTCCTGCTCATCCTCCAGGCTTGGAAGATGAATTGATGCACAGATACAGTAAATTTCTCACAATAAAGTTCCTTCCTCCTAACACCACTCCTCTAATTCAGCCTATGGACCAGAAAATCATAGCAAATTTTAAGAAACTTTATGAAAGGGCACTTTTCCGGAAATGTTTTGAAGTGACTGAAGCCACACACCTCACTCTCAAAGAGTTCTGGAAAGGCCATTTTAACATTTGTAGTTCTTTAAAACTCATTGACAAGCCTGGCAAGAAGTGACTCAAAGAACCCTGATCTCTGGCTGGAGAAAATTGTGGCCTGAATGTGTGACAGAATTAGACTTTGAGGGGTTTGAGCCTGTAAATGATGCGCCTAATGTTGAGGAAATTGTTACTCTGGGCCGGCAAATGGGCTTGGAATTGGATGGTGATGATGTGGAGGAGTTGGTGGAAGAACACAACGAAGAACTGACCACCAAAGAACTCCAAGCCCATCAAAAGGAACAGCAAGAAGACCCAGCTGAGGATGTTTCTCCAGTGGAGGAGGATGAGGCAGTACAGAATGTCCCTTCTGGAGAAATTAAGAAGTGGTGTCAGATGTGGGAAGAGATGCAAACTTTTATTGAAAAGACTCGCCCAGAGAAAGCTGTAGTAGGCCATTGCCTTAATCTTTTCAATGATAATGTGATGCCTTACTACAGAGACAGCTTGTGAAGAAAGGAAAAACAAGCTTCCATGGACAGGTTTGTTGTGAGAAAATCGAGCAGTGAGCCACAACCAGGACTTAGTGGTATGCAGGCAAAACGTGCCAGAGTGCACTCCAGAAAGGTCCTCACTGCCTGATGTTATAATGGAAGGGGACTCCCCTTCCAAACAGTAACTCCGCTCCTCCTCCCCCCTCCTCACCATCTTCCATACGCCTACAGCCGTATGGAAGATGGCATAGAGGTGTCTAGAGCACATAGAAGTGTCTAGAGACGAAGTGGAAAAAATGCTCAAGGAGCTAAATAAGAACAAAGCAGTTGGTCCAGATGGAGTTTCACCATGGGTTCTGAGAGAATGTGCACCTGAGCTCAGCATTCCTCTTCAACTGATTTTTCAGGCATACAGGAGTTGTAGCTGATGTGTGGAAAAAGGCTAACATAGTTCCAATCTACAAAAGTAGATTGTTTCTATCACTCAGTTTCTATGATCGAGCAACAGAGTTATTACAGGAAAGAGATGGTTGGGTTGACTGCATCTATCTGGACCTAAAAAAGGCTTTCGACAGAGTTCCACATAAGAGGTTGTTCTGGAAAATATTGGAGGAGTGACAGGTACGCTTCTAACATGGATGAAAAATTTTCTGACTGATAGAAAAATGAGGGCTGTGATCAGAGGCAATGTATCGGACTGGAGAAATGTTACAAGTGGAGTACCACAGGGTTCAGTTCTTGCACCAGTGCTGTTTATTGTCTACATAAATGATCTACCAGTTGGTATACAGAATTATATGAACATGTTTGCTGATGATGCTAAGATAATAGGAAGGATAAGAAACTTTGATGATTGTCATACCCTTCAAGAAGACCTGGACAAAATAAGTACATGGAGTGCCACTTGGCAAATGGAATTTAATGTTAATAAATGCCATGTTATGGAATGTGGAATAGGCGAACATAGACCCCACACAACCTATATATTATGCGA